GCAGGTTGCAGCCCTGTCTGACCTTCCACAGTTCAGAAACAAAACCTTTTGGTTTCTTGCACTATTGGGCACATGCATTTGGTAGGATGGATCTGACTGCTCCCCATTACCCTTAAAAAAGGGGCCCAGGTCCCCTCTCTATCAGTTTCTAGTTTGCCTTTGCCCTCAAGCCCCTGCTTAAGTCACCTTCTGGGGGCAGATATTTTGGTTTCTGCTCCTGGTGGATATGGAGCAGGGCAGAAGGTGCTGTTGCAGGGTTCTAACAGCCTGCCCCCCTCTCTGCTGCTTCTTACTCAGTGACAGTGGCTTTTCCAGCCAGGGTTTGGAAACTTATGTTGAAATGAGGCCTGTGTCATCATCATCATCATCTTCAGCAGCATCAGATTCTGCACAAGTCAGGGGTGAGTCAAAGGCTCATTTCTGTCATTTGTGATTTCTTTCTTTTGGCCATCCTGTCTGGTTTTGCTCTGGAAACCATGACATGCCACAGTTGGCATTACTCACCAGCTTTGCAGCAAATCTAAATCTCTGCTTTGAATTTCAGGGAGAAGCTCGGAGGAAGATGAAGCCAGGGAGGATCTCCGTCCCCTCAATCTCTCTGACCTGCTGCAGTTCTCCAGCCAGGTGGCCCAGGGCATGGCATTCCTGGCATCAAAGAACGTGAGTGCCAAGAGGAACACTGTTGCCAGCACACCAAGGGGGCAACACCAGTCCAGCCAAGCAGGAGCCACCCATCCTGGCTGCAGAAGGCTTGGCATGTCTTTGGATGGGGATGCCAAGCTCAAGCAAGCTGCTGCTTCACATGGGCCTCTGCTGTGTCTGTTGGGTTCAGACAGGCTGGGCCCTGGTGTCTGGTGTTCTGTCCAGAGCCCTTGCATGGAGGGCAGTGTTACAGGGGGAACTCAGGGCTGTGCATCATGCTGGTCTCAACAGTTTCTCCCCTGCTTTTACACGAGGTCAGGAGCTATGTTTTGAAGTTTTTTCACTTTGGCAGTGTCCCTGCTACCCCAGGGACAAGGAACTGAAAGTGGCTGTTGATCTGACTGCCAGAGCTGGCTCATAGTGTGACAGTCACCCTGTGACTGTTTCAGGGATGAGGACAGTGTAAACAGCCCCTGGTTCTGACCTTCCCCTTGTGGGGAAGATGACAGCCCCATGAGTGATTAAAGAACAGAGCATGACATGGCATAATGTCTTAACACTGCAAATGAAGTGATGGAAAGAGAGCTACAAACACAGAGTTGACATGGTGCCTCAGATGGGGCTCTTCAAGCAGTACATGCTTCCCTTGCCCCTACAAGCATTGTTTTGGTGGCAGGTCCAGGCTGTAGGGAATTTTTTGGGACTGCTGGGGGCCAGTGCCTGGATCTCAGTTGTGGTCTCTTGTCCCCAGTGCATCCACCGTGACCTAGCAGCCAGGAATGTGCTCATATCAGACGGACGGGTAGCCAAGATCTGTGACTTTGGCCTGGCCCGGGACATCATGAATGACTCCAACTATGTTGTAAAAGGCAATGTAAGTAATTGAAATGGGCACAAGAGAAGGCACAAGGGTAGGAGGGGCTGGAAAGGACAGACAGGGTGTAGCATAAGCTGCCAGCTTGTCCCAGTCTGCAGGATTCTCTGCTCTTCCAGGCCCGCCTGCCCGTGAAATGGATGGCCCCAGAGAGCATCTTTGACTGCATTTACACAGTGCAGAGTGATGTGTGGTCTTATGGCATCCTGCTCTGGGAGATCTTCTCCCTTGGTAAGAAAGCAAGCTTGCAAACCCCTTTTGTTTTCTGTGGCTCACTACTGCCCTAATGTATCTGCAGAAAAATTTCCAAGAAAGGAGGAAGGTTGACAAAAATCTAGGTTTATCAGGGCTGTAAAACACTGTGTTATGTTTCCAGAGGGACCATTCAAAACAAAGAATCCCACACCATTTCCTCTAACTCAGACCTCCCTGATGATGCTCCAGGCTGCCTCTTCCCACCCCTCAAGGTTGGAGTATTGAACCCTGTGGTCTGAGAGCCACCTCTGCTCCTTTTTCTGTCACAGGGAAGAGCCCCTATCCTGGCATGGTGGTGAACAGCAAGTTCTACAGCATGGTGAAGCAGGGATACCAGATGGCCAGGCCTGACTTTGCTCCCTTGGAAATGTGAGTGGATGCACTGAGATTCACACAGCAGTGACAGGGGTCTGGCAACAGGTAGGGACAGGGGACAAGGCACAGGGACCTTGTCCACAGCTCTGCCTGCTCTCCCAGGTGTCTGCCTTGGGGTTAAGCATGGATCCTACCAGCCTGCTCCTTCTATCCAGCATCTCCTGTTTGGGGACAGGAGGATGGGAACACTCACATTATCTATCTACATTCCTGAACTTGGTGGGGTTTTCTTCTTTTTTTAGTTAGCTTCTTTTGAGTCTGGGGTTATGAGAAGACAAGCCTGAGTAGGCTACAGGAGGTAATGAGAGTAAGCCTGAAGTCTTGATGGCATAAAGCTTCTTGTTGATTAGTTTGCTCCATCCACTCCAGTGCTCACCACTCCCTGGAGCACTGCACTCACCATGGGTTTTTTGGAAGAAGGGACTGCTCAGTTCTGTGTCCCTGACATGCAGAGTGCTGCAGGGAAAGCCTGGGGTTGCAGATCCCTCCAGCAGCACCATGCCACCTCCCTGTCCCTGTGTGGCCCTGCAGGTACAGCATCATGCAGGCGTGCTGGAGCCTGGAGCCCACACGGAGACCCACCTTCGACCAGATCAGCTGCTTCATCCAGAAAGAGCTGGAGGTGCATAAGGAGCAGGTGAGGACCTCTGGAGAGAAGGGAGAGGATCTTTCCCCCTATATGAACACAGCCTCTGGACACATTTTGTGTGATATCTCCTACCATAAGCTGATGGGAGCAGTGTAGTGTTGGTGGGAAGTGCAGAGAGGCATCCAGCTGAAGGGTTAAGTCATAGAGGGCTGCAGAAGGAAGCACAGCTTCTTGGCAGAAACCTCAATGTGACAGGCATTCATGCACTGCCCCATTCCCCTGGACCTGCTGTGCATTCTCTCAGGACCAGCTGGCCACAAAAGCACAGGCACATGCCTGCCCTCGCTGTGAGCCCTGCCCCGTGGGCACAGCAAAGAGTGGTAATGCAGAGTGAGCACATCCCCAGCTGGTCACCTGCATGGGAACAGGTGTCAGACATCAAAGGGACCAAAACACACAGGGTGTTGTGTTTCTTCCTTTTCTTTCAAGGACTACACCAACCTCCCCTCCAGTGCAGAGGAAGACAGTGGCTGTGACACCTCTGGCTGCTGTGAGGAGTCCTGCGAGCAAGAGGAGAGTGGGCAGCCACTGCTCAAGGGCAACAACTACCAGTTCTGTTAGGTGGGACCTTCACCCTGGGGCTGATCCTTGTCCTGGCTCCACAGAGCTCACCCTAGGACACAGACACCTTCTGCTTTGGCCTTCTCTGTGCTTGCTGAAGTGTGGGTGTTACGGACTCTCTCACCAAAAGGAGAGCAAAGACACCTTGGGGTCCCTGAGTCTTATCTCACACACAGCATAGAGCTGTCAGGATGGTAACAGGCTCCATCTCTACAAGGTACACAGAGGTCCCCAGCAGCCACCTCCCCATGCCCCAGAGAAGGCTGTGGGAGTTTGGGTTTTGTGGTTTTTTAAAAAATACTAGTCACAGCCAAGGAAGATATTTCCAGTTGTGTCACTCACATTACTGAACCCTTGAGTTTTATAAGAACATCTTGAAATATGTCTTAGCACTGGAACTACTCCACACACTCCCTTTTTTTGATGGTTCTGCTCTCTTCCCTTTGTCAGTCTGACCCTGGACATTGCAGTGTTTAGAAATAGGTAAAGCTTCTACATAGCATTAAATATGCATTAACCCTACACTTCCTTGTGCAATCTACCTCTCTGCAGCTGACGCTTCTGCAGGGAGTGTTTGGGTGAAGTGAGCCACAGAGCCAACCCCAGGGTTATGTGAACTTGTGCCTCACTAACAGGACAGGACAGCTTTCTCAGGTAAAAGACAGCAGAAACAGTGCTCTTCCATGAGAGCCCTGAACACAATCCCAATCCAGGAAAGAATGGCAGCTTAAAGAGGTCTAGAAATGATCAGCATTACACATATCCTACAGAACTTCTGAGTTACTGAGCATGTAGCAATCACTGCCTTTGTCACTATGACAGACTTGTACTAAATTTCCTTAATGTACTTTTAATAGTACAGCTGAGGTGATTTTTTTTTCATAAGCTAGGGCCTAATACACTTCAACCTATTTCTCAGCTAGCTCTTGCTCAGTGTTACTACTGCCCTGGCCACCCAGTCCTGTACACCTACCAGAAGTAGCTAAAGAACCTTCTCAGCTTCACCTGACTCGGTGGGTAAAGGATTTCTATTCCAGGTACAGGGAAACTGCAACTGACAGGGCTCAGGGAAACTACAACTGCACTGCAGGTGGCCTTTGTCACACTCTGAGCAATTTCACTGTGGGCCATTTCTGATTCTATTAAACCTGGTTTTATGCTAACACCAAGTGCTTCATTCTTCCTTACTAAATGAAAAGCTAACGTAACTCTGTCAGCATTATAAAAAATAAAATATGTTTAACAAAATGAGTCTCTCCTAGGGCTCTAAGGACTGTTCTCAGAGGGGAACAGCTCAGAGCAGGGGTGATGCACTGGCCTACCCACTCACCCTGCAACTCTGTTCCTCAGTACCAGTTCTCAAAACCACTCATTCTTGTGTAACACAAAAACCAATTAAAAGCAAGGTTTTAAAGCTCTGAAGTAGTCCCTGTGCATGGATATAATGGAATGCAATTTCAGTTGTGATAATGGAACATCTGACAAGTCACCATGTGGCACATGGCAGCAGTCTCTGGGGCAAGTGCAATGGCAAAGGCAGGGCAAATGCAGAAGAGATTCAGCAGTGTTTGTGCCTTTTCTCCTGGAGCCATCCAGCTTTTGTACACACACACACAAAAAAAAAAACAACCCAAGTCACTTAACCACAGTTTCACCCCCAAAATTGGAGATAATTTATTAAACTTTCTCACTGACTGAAAAAAGTCACTAATGTCTCTTATAATAAGTTAATGTTCTTAACAGAAAAACCCCAAGCCATGATTACTGCATTTGCTCAGACTCAATACATTTACTTTAACAGTACGGTACTAAATAGGTTCCCCTTCACAGAAGGGAGTTTTCAACCACACTGCAAGCCTCAGAATCTTCCCCACTGCTCACTCAGACAAAATAAACTCCCAAGATGGCAACTTTGCAGTCTGGCATCCTACTTGTTTCCTATGTGTGTCACAGCAAACACCTTCACCACCAGCCATGGGCAAAGGGAGCTGCAGCAGCCACAGCACAGCTTTGCACCCACAGCCCCAGGTGTTCCTCAGGTGTGCTGCACAGGCAGAGTCTGATCCTGACTCCTCTCAAGGGGCTGACAAAGCAACCTGGGCAGCAGGAGACTCCTCTAACCCCCAGAGTGCTGTGGGAACATGGGCAGGAATACAGAACCCTGCTCGCTCTGGTGACACTGCATTCATCATTCCTCCTTGATCCTTTAGACAGTGTTTGGATGTCCCTCCCCTCTCCACAGCACTTAAACCATCCTCCAACGCCTCAGCTGCCCTGGGGCTCAGTTCTTACCTTACTATACAGAACACTCTCCTCTCACTGTACCTTTTGGCTTCTAAATTATTAGTGCTCATGTGAAGGGACAAACAATTCTAGAAACTCCCTGCAGCCAAAGTATTCACAATCCTGGACCAGGAGTGCAGCCTCCAGGGAAGCTCCCCAGATACAGCATGTTAAAGCAGCACAGCTCCTCCTCCTCACGACTCCTTGCAGCCAATGCCTGTGAGAGCTCTGCAAGTTTACCAAGCAGGAGTCAGTATCCTAAATTCACCTATTCAGAATGTTTTGGGGGAAATTGTTGTAGCCATCTACCATTTATGCCTGGTCCCACACCCTCAGCCCTGCCACCAATAAGCACAAAGAAGTCAGCAAGCAAGATTCAGAATTAAATGACCTGTGTGTGCTTGACCACGCACACTCCCTGCTACCAGCAACTCCTCTGCAGGGAGGGCAACATCCTACAGCCCTGAACAGCAGGTCCATCACGTGCCTTGGAGGCAGCTGCAGCCTTCTGCAAGGGGGTGACAGACCCGTGCTCACAGCAGCTATCACGATCCTATGGAATCACAGAGCTCTTTGGTCAGTAACAGCAGTCAAAGCCACCAGCATCACATCTCCAACCTGTGGAGGTTGATAAAATAAAATAAAAAATAAACTCTCAAACCAGACAGCTGCAAAAGCTGGCTCAGCCCACCCATCCACACAACCAGAGAGAGAAACCAGCTCAGCAACCTCCATCCTCCTCCTGCTTCACCTCTTCCTCCTCCTCCGTCTCCGTTTTGATCTGGGCCACGCCGAGCCGGTAGAGCGCGTCACGGATCACCACCTCCCCGGGCTGGCAGCTCTGCACGATCTCCTGGATCTGCCTGTTGACGATTTCCCTGCTGGTGAGGAAGTCCATGAGGCGGTTGTAGAGGTAATAGTGCGTGGGGTTCT